ACCTTGTTCCGTCCATCGAACTTCATGGACGACGGTGATGTCAGCTTTTATTTTTACAAGAATATCAACCAATTGGGCAGCGACACTTTCCCAATTACCGGACCGGACATTCCAGGTGCATGCCCACAAATCGTAATCCTTAATGCGCTTCCCGTGGTCGTCATCAAAAGGGGATCCGAGACTGTTGTTTGTTTTCATTGTAGACCGGAAGTCGTACCTGCTTGTGAAATAAAAAACAGAAGCGTAAAAGAATCGTTTCTGGTCACTCCGAAGGGGCGCTGTGATAACTTTCCTCACTTACGTGACTGCATCCTCCACCACAGTATATATGTATGTAGGTACCATAAAAACTGAACTATCCAAATGTTAAGTTTTTTTCTTGTTTTTTTAATAATATGTCCTTTTTAGTATCTGTATGAATTTATGGACAAATTTCATAAAAATAAACGGTTTCAGCAAATTTACATTCACTTTTGTAATATTGAGGGCTCAACTGTTTTTGACAGTTTCAGTGTTATTTTCGTGCGGCACAAATCCTCTTGAACCAAATGGGGCGAGCCTCTCCAAATGTACTAATTTCATTTTACATCGTGGTTTTCCATTTCTTTGTATGCGGTATACCACGTCATTAAGTCGTTTCATCACCATATAGGGGCCTTCCCAGGCTGTTTGCAATTTCGGTGACAAGCCTTTCTTTCGAAGTGGACTGTACAACAGGACCAGATCACCTTCTTCAAAACCGCCTTGAATTTGCCGCTTGCTCAAACCGGTCCTTCATCTCATTGCTCAACAGATGCATGTGCTGTCTTGCCATTAGATGCAGTTCATTCATTTTTTCCTTTAAGGCAGAGCAATACTCTCCATCATTTCTTACAGCTGCAGGATTCATTCCGAACTTAGGATCAGCAGGGAGTCGCAGATCAGATCCGAAAATAATCTTTGCTGACGTGTAACCAGTTGTCTCGTGCTTCGCTGAATTCCGTTGATCTTTATCAACGATTTTCCGCAGATGTTCTTCGAGCGTTCGGTTGAATCTCTCTACCATCCAATCTGATTGTGGATGTAACGCTGTTGTCCGTGTCTTGTGAATGCCCAATAATTTACAGACTTCTTGAAAAATGGAAGATTCGACATTCCTGCCTTGATCTAAGTGTAATTCGACGGGCACTCCGAACCTCGTGATCCAATTTTCTACAAACGCTTCGGCTACTGTCTTCGCTTCTTGGTTTGGAAAGGCATGCAACATCCATTGCGACTCGTTCAAATGGTGATCCCACATTGTACTGTTGCAGCCTACCGCGACTTTTGACTTTAAGACCTTTAGTTATCCATTCTGCTAATGAATCTCGACAACCAATCCAGTAGAACCGTTGTTTAATCTTCTATAAAGTTTTTGTAAATCCAAGGCGCCCTCCACTAGGGCCTTTGTGATATTCTTTCAATACTTTCGGGATCATGGACTTCGGTACTATAATCAGCAGACGAGACTGTTTGCCATCTTCGCTTTCCCAGGTACGATGAAGGTATCCATTAACGAGGTTTATGCTGTTCTATTGGGCCCAATATGCTTTTGCAGTTGGACTCCCGCTACTTATTTGTTCCTTTGGTGGTCGTACCCCATTTTCTTTGGCTATTATCAGCTTTGCAAGATCAGATTCAGGTTCTATATTCAGTAGTCACACGTCGATTATAAATTATTTTCCTTCTGATTTAGAGCAATGTTTACATTCCAGTGGACAAGGGCGACGTGATAATGCATCCGCATTTTTGTGGTGAATCCCCTTTCGGTGTTCTGTTTCGATGTCGTAACTCTGTAATCTTTCGTTCCATCGTGCAATTTGTCCTTCCGGATTCTTAAACTGTAATAACCATTTTAATGCTGCATGATCAACAAGAATCGTTGCCCATACAAATACTTGTGGAAATGTTTTACACATTCCACCAGAGCTAGTAGTTCTTATCGCGTCACACAGTGGTTTTTCTCTGGTTTCCCGAGTACTCTGCTGTAATACCCAATTACTCTTTCTTGCCCGTCGATGAGCCGAGCCAGGACACCTCCAATTCCATAAGCGCTCGCATCTGTATCCAGAATGAATTTTTTTCCAGGTATTGGATAAGCTAACATCGGCGCCGTACAAAGTAGTTCTTTAAGATGCTCAAACGCTTTTTTTTTTGTTCCAGCTGCCATACAAACGGGCGATTCTCCTTTGTTAAATCATATACTTTTATTTTTCCCTCCTCGGTGTGAATCCCCTCAGTTGACACTTTATGTCCGAGATATGTGACCTGCTTCTTCAATAATGAAAACTTTTTGGGATTCAAGCGTAATCCGGCTGATGCTATTCGCTGAAAGACTTCCTCTAGATCATCAAGATACACCAAACATGTCTTCCAGTTGAGTCCTTCTAACACACGTTCCATCAGTCGCTCGAACGTTGCAGGCGCATTACATAACCCAAATGGCATCACAGAGAATTCCCATAACCCGTCGCCTGAAAGCGGTCTTTTCACGATCACATTCATCAATTTCGACTTGCCAATATCCACTTTGTAGATCTAATGTAGAAAACCATTTCGCTCCAGACAAGGTRTCTAATGTATCGTCGATTCTCGGTAGAGGATAAMTGTCTTTCTTTGTGACATCATTCAACTTCCTATAATCTACGCAGAAACGGGTGTTRCCATCTTTCTTTTTAACTAAGACGATAGGTGAGCTCCATGGACTTATTGAAGGTTCGATTACACCGTTTTTGTGCATGTCTTCAATAATTTTGTTAGCATCCTCACGTTTTGCTAGTGGAACCCTACGCAGAGCTTGTCGGATCGGTTTAGCGTCTCCGGTATTTATGCGATGTTTGACAATGCCGGTTCTTCCTGTGTTGTTTCCTTCGTTTGCAAATGTGGATGCGTATTTTTCTAATAGTTTTTCTGCTTTTAGTTCTTCATTTCCATGCACCTCGTTCAGCAAATTGTTTAGGAGTGTAGGACTTATCTGCTGTGGCGCAATAGTATTCTTCTGTTGTGACCGTTCGCATCGTGATATTGCACTTATATTCTGGCACTGTCCAATTACTGCTCCTTTCTTCAGACTTATAGACGTGTTGAATTCATTTACCACTCTGACCGGAATGGTAGCGTCTTCTCTAGTTTTCACAAGTTTTCTTCCTACCAATATGGGTGTATCTATTTTTGTTGGTTCCACAATCCACAATTCTTTGAACTGTTCCGTTTTGATGGGTTTACTTTTATATTGCAATTTCGGGCAAAGTGACCCGCTTTTCCACTGTTGAAACATCTGCCAGTTGTATTTACTCGCGGTGCAGCAATTGTCTTCAGAGTCTTCAATATTTCTTCCATCAGCGCCGGTTGTTCCATTTCAACTCTTTGTACTTTGTGTACTGGTTTACTTAGTAGAGAAGCTGTTTCCTGTGTGAGGCGTGCGAAACCGTTTCAGCAAACGTTGTTTTTGGCAATGCAGATGTGGCGCGTTTGGTGTCCACATCACGAATTCCATTTATGAAACTTTGAATTTTCAACGTCTCAATGTAATCCACAGGTGCATCTGCATTTGCCAAATGAGCCAGTCGTTCTATTTCAGTTGCGAACTCTTGCAATGACTCGATCATTTTCTGACCCCTATTTTGCAGTTCAATCTGGTATATTTGTTTCCGGTGCTCACTACCATATCGTCTTTCTATCGCACTCATCAAAGCCTCATAGTTGTCCCGTTCACAATATGGAATAGTCTGAAGGATTTCGGTCGCAGGTCCTTTCAATGATACAAACAAGGACGCCACTTTGTCCGCTGCATTCCAGTTATTCTCCATTGCTGTCTTTTCAAACTGAAGTTTGAAAATTTGAAATGGAATACTTCCATCGAATGTGGGTGCCTTAAATCTTGGATTATTTGTTGATGGTGCAGGGTCATGCAGTTGCAGTTCTCGCATACGATTACTCAAATGAAGAACTTCTGATGTTAAATTTTCTTCGCCATTTTTTAACGTGCTTAATTCGTCTTCAAATTTTGAAAATTTCTCTTGCACTTGTTTTTGTACTTGTGTAGTATTTTCTGTAATCTGTTATAGCAAACGATTTTCTAACTGCGTATTATTTTCAGTCATTTGTTGGGTAAATCGAGACTCTAACTGTGACGTATTTTCAACTATTTGCGTCGTTTGCTGTGCCAGACGATTTTCTGTTTGCACTGCCTCTTCTGCCATTTGCTTAATAGCCACTAAGAACATATTCATGTCTACTCTTGATGATGTTCGTTGTTCTTCTACTTTTTTTTCTACCTTTGTAGAAGTTCCTGGGCCATCAAATTCGAATTCGTCCACATTAATTCGATCCGCTTGCATTGCTTCACGTAATCGTGCCTGCATATCCGCCTTTTGTCCGCTTATCGGCAAATTACGCTCTTCCAGTTCCTTTTTTAATTGCTGAATTCTCAATTCCACGAATTTAACTATCTTGAATTTGGATTATTTGACAATCCCACTTCTGACACCAATTGTTGCGAATTTACTCCTTACTAGTTTACTTGACTAGGTTCGTATCTCTGGATTGACAAATAAAACCAAAAACCGTTAATTCACTTTAACAAAATATCTTTATTTCAGAATCCTCCTTACGTTGGCGCTACCTCGGCTTATATAGCCACGCACTCCTCGCTGATGCCGACATGCGTCTCTAGAACATTGCGTCTGGCAATTATAAGAACATAATGCTATACGTTCCATATACAGTTAATGTTTATGCTACAAGTAGACAAACAGACAACCGTGGCGCCCAATGTTTATAATAAAGAATGCAAATAGCAAGACAAACACATGTGGTACCAAACTTAATACTACTTTTGTGACAATATTATATAATTGTATCAGGACTTGCTAAGTATTTTTTCTTTTTCGAACGTTTATGGTAAACATAAAACGCATTATTGTGAATGGTAATTGAAAATAACGTTTATTCGACAAAAACAAATTCGAAAGAAATTTTTGTGGAGTGTGGCTAGAAAATTCTCCACATTTCTTTGGGAAACTGATCGCTGATTCAAGTTTCAAGATTTCAAGTAATAACGAGTAAAGAATTGCGGACAGAAAAAAGGTAGTGATCTTAACATTATGGTTATATTAGTAATATATTTTTTTTTATTTCTCAGGCCCAGCAAAAAAAATTTGTACATAGGATCTCAAAACAGGGCTATAAGCGTTAACCAAGATCGACGCGGCAGCGCACGCGAATTGTTGGCAATCAAGTTTTCAAAAACATTTTTACCGTGTAAATGTAATTTTAAAATAATGCAGGGAACGCAACAAACGAATTTATCTGGCTATTCAATACCGCATGTGTCATTAACAACTAACATGGCTGGTTTGACAAAAAAACAAAGAAAACGTCTACCACAACGTGAAAGAGAAGCTCAACGTGCCTCAGTTCAAATGGCAGTTAATAAAATTCAAACCTCAATTAAAACCGTACCCAATAATAACTCTATCGGCGGCAATACAAATAGTCCCCAGGTACCAGCTCTGTCTGGTATGCTGTACGATCTGGCCGTACAGTTTCGCACCGAGATATGCTTATTACAAATGCTCATAGACTCGGAGACTCAACAAAATTCTAAAACAATAGCTGACAAAGAATTTATTGTGGCAGAAATAACATTAGCGAATAGTAGTCCAATAACAAAAGAAGCATTCAAATTTATGCGTTCAGTGATTCTTAATGCAATTGAGAAATATCAAAAGCCGAAAAAAGTCACCCCTATTTTCTATAGCATGAATCATAATAACACGTACATAAATATTCTCTGTGAGGATGCATTTGCATTTGGCTGTTTGCAGGCTTGCGTTGGAAAAATGTCTACTTTGGGTAATGTATCGTTGTATCCTTTGGAGGCAAGTGCTGGCCGCTTATATTGTTACAGTGTAATATACACTGGAATTATAAATGATCCAATGAAATTTTTGTTGCAAATCCGTTTGCATATACCGAAATTGCGCACCGATCACTGGATTATTGCAGATAGCAAAGTATGTACCGATGACCAAGATGAAACCCAATTCCTATTCCTTGTGGATGAAATATCGTCCATAGCGCTCGAGTACCGTTATAGCAATAGGCTTTTCATCTGCTTGGAAGAAGCACTATTTCATAATCATGGCCAATTACCAAATTTCTTTTGACAAATCGAAGCGAAGCAAGCGAGCCCGACAATTATGTAGATCATCTATAATTTACTAAAAAATTTCTTAACTTATATTTTACCTAAAGATGTACCTTTTACCCATTACAATATTTTATTATAATTATTTGCCGGTATATTAAAAATGTATGTTATAATTCTCATAATATATTAATTTATTTTAATGTAATTTAAAAGAAATTTGCACAACCACTGGTAGAAATACATATGCCTTTTTTATTTCGACACATTTAACAATAAATGAAATTGAATTGAACTGAATAAATCTATCATCTTTTGTAGTTGACTACGTACATTGTGATTGCCAGCATTATTTTATATAGTCGTATATTACAAAAAAAACTTTATTTTATATAAATATATAAGCTAACAATTGTTTACAAGTGCATCGTAGAAATTAAAATTTGGACAGGCTTTATTTTTTGTTTTCTTCGGCAGCGCTCCACTTTCCAAAAAGCTTTTGCAAAATGGTTTGAAATCAGAATTGATAAATTGCTGTCTGCCTTTTTTAATCTTTGGGTCAGTCTTCTTCGGCACCGGTATAACTGGGTTGAACACCATTTGCGTGCTATTAAACTGATCGTAGAGTTCATGAGAGGATCTAAAAGGAAGAGTCATAGAAAATAAACTTACAGTTGCTTCTAACACTTACAGTTTGCCAATTTCTGGTGCTAAGGACCCTTCTCCAGATGCCGGCACCCCATTGGCTATGTGCATTGCCATTTTACGCACCGTTGGATGGTAATGGCGAGACAATATAGTAAGCTCATATAGCGCCGTGCTTGAAGCATTACAATACTCTGGGTCCTCCAATTCCGGATCATAATTACCCGACCCTACGCTAGTGTCTGTATCCAGTAAAACGTCTAATACCGATGTTAGTTGGAAGGTGGTTTTTATTGTGCCAAGGGTGGCTAGTGTACCATGATGCAACAAATGCAAGCTAAGCATAAGCAAACGTTTTATAAACGCCATTAAACGTTGCTGACTCATATTGCGTCTTCTTTTCACCAAAACTTCATCTAAAGTACCGAGAATGATGCGGAAGTCTTCATGATTTTTTCCCGCATTCACAGTAAGCATATTTTTGTAGAAGTGTTGGTAGAAACGTATTGGATCAATATTCAGCACTTCACCTTGACCTGAGAGTATAACGAAAATCGTTTTTATGCAATGCAATTGTTCACGGTAACCCAGATCCATTTCTTCTAATATGCGATTCAACACATCGATGAGGTCAGAGAAGAAATCTAAATTGATGACATGTGCAAACCTATAGGATAATGTCATAATACAAACAAAAAAAAATATTTATTATTTAAATTAAAAAAACCAAAATTCGCTTACTCACTCTGCTAAACCCTCTAAAATGGCACTCAGCACCTTCGACGTTGGCTCGTTTTTCAAAACTCGGAAATAAATTGTAAACACCATTTTTGTTATTTCTGTTAGTTTGTAAAGTTTTGTTTGCTTATTTTCTTCGGCACGGGTTTCGTCTAATTCTCGCGTGACTTCAGCCAATTTCTTCCGTCGTTTGCGCTCTTTCTTTGATAAGCTCATCAAACGTTGTCTGTGCGACTCCAACTTTTTTTGTTTCAATTCATTCTCTTTCTCAGCATCTAAATTGACATTTTTTATCTTAAGTGCCAACAAGCAAGTAATGCACTCAACATGTACATTTGGGAGTTTAGTCTTTATTAGGTGGTTTATGCGCCTCACAATGAACAGTGTCATATCTAATTTCTTGTCATTAGCGAAAAAGGTGCGGAAACACTTGTTAATTGTTTCACGCATATTCTCATAGTTACAGTTCAACATATAGACCAAGAGCTGTGCAACATTTTGTACATAATTGAAATATGGATGCGCGTTGAGTATATCACACATACTTTGCACAGCCACCTCAGCCATTTTAATCGCCTGCGGTGTTACACGTCCCTGTCCACGTTTGTTTACTATTGCTGTAAGTTTCTCAAGTTTCTGCAGGAATTTTTTAAATTGTTGAAGCAGCGCGTTTTCATAAGTCACACGTTCCAAAGTGGCTTTGCGAACTAAAATGGAGAATAATATTTATGTATTAAGCGCAATTATGTATATGCGGTCAAAGTATTTTAAAATTTCACACCTGTTTGCATTTTAGTGTCCACCTGTCCTACGCGATATTCAGGCAGAATATCTTTGAATATTTCAGTCACCGAGATTATTGCCAATTTTCGTACTGTTAAAAGATTTGGTGTACCAGCTGCATTTGTTTCTTCCATCAGCTCATACAGAGCATTAAAATTTCGCATTTTGTCTTCTGGTTTTTCAAGTAAACCAGAACAAATTATACCAATACGATATTTTTGACGCTCAATTTCCTGTTGTCGCGCTATAAGCAAATCAGTAGTAGAAATCAGTTTTTTTTTAGGCTCAGGTAGGGCACTGCCTTCGCCAACATCATTTACTACATCATCATCACTATCCTCATAAACAACGTCTTCGTCGTCTTCGTTAACCTCATCATCCTCATCTCCTTCTGCTCCGTCATCCTCTTTCTCACTACGTTTAACCTTTGGTTTAGGTATGTAGTCTACCTCAGCGGTACGTGTTATGATTTGCCCATCACGACTTTTTATGGGCAATAAGTTGACTTTGACTTTTTTCTTTTCATTGTCCACAACTGCATTCCTTGTATAAGCCTTTTCTAAGCCTACTGATTCTTTTTCTTCTTCAACAGCAGCTGTATTCTTACGTTTACGTTGCTTATTTAAACCTTTCTCATGCAAATATTCCAAATCATCACCGTCCAACATATCCGCTATGTTATTAACCAATTCCGATGGATCCACATTATCATCGTCATTATCAAGTGGGTCATCGTAAATATCAGTCTTTTGTTTTCGTTTTTGTGGCAATTGTTCACGTTTTTTCGCCTTCTGTCGGAATATATTTTGTTTTCGATCCTTGGCCGCTTTCTGCTGAGCCAATTTGTGTTGTTGTTGTTTGGTAAGAGGGGTCTTCTTAGATTTGAGATGTGCGTTGCGTTTCACTGAACTAATCTTCACTTTTTTCTGTAAATTTTAAAATTGTTAATATTGTTTTGATTTTAGATGAAATGAGAGTTTCTAGTGTGTAATTAGTATAGCAATGCAACCACTGTAATGATGATTATATATTATTTACAAACCGTGCCCATTTTATATACAAATTACGATTCAAAATATGTATTAAATCAAAGCCAATCGCACGTGTACTGTAGTTGACGCTATAATGCTACCACTGTGTAAAAAATTTAAACTATGAGAATGGAAAATATAACATTTTTAATTCAGTGGCATTTACTTCAAGAACAGCTGTTATAACACTTTAATTTGTAAACAATATCAGATGTTCGATTTATGATTATAGTTGCCAGCGAATTTGTTTGTTAGTATTTTAAGCACAATTGCTGAAATAAGGCGGACGAATACATTCGATTTCTAGAGTGTTGGCAAGAAAACACACTCTTCTTATTGTAAACTAGTGTTATTGTTCGTGTTATTAAATCCTATTGGTTTGCTCCTGTTGGAACTTGACGGTCTAATAAACGATCGATGCTAGTTGGAGGGGGTTTGATTCTATTGAAATAACAAATACGAAGTTATGTAATATTAACGCTGGTGTTACGCGCCACTAGAGCAATTAATATGCGAAAAATCCCTTCTGAGATAAATGCTTATTTTCAAAAACATAGAAAAAATTCTTTATTCCAAAAGAAGCTGCCACAACAAAGGTTTAGACAGGAAAAAAGTGTGGCAACCTTGATTACATTAGCTATAAGAAGTCCACACTTTGAAAACTTTAAGTTGCAAATACTTTTTAATCAAAATTGAATAATTTTGGTAATGTCGGATGAAGATGATTATATGTCGGATAAGTTCCTTTGTGGGTAAGAGCATGTTACAATGTGTTTGTAAATGTAAAATTTTACTAAACTATACTTACAGAGACGTTCGACCTAGCCTTGTACAACAACCGAATAAAAAAAGACAGATTTTTTTGGAGGAGAAGAAAAGGGCACATATTAAGCGTCAAAAGCAAGAAAGCTTCACACGCAAAGGAATTATGAATATTAAGTCATTAGAAGAATCTCTCAAAAAGCCAATAGAGAATCAGAACAAGGGCTTTCAAATGTTAGCTAAAATGGGCTATAAATCAGGGGAGGCACTTGGCAAGAAAATGTCTGGTGAAGAAACAGATAACCGCCTTATTGAGCCAATTGGTATCAGCATAAAATCTGATAGAGGTGGTTTAGGCCGTGAAACAGCGTTACGTGATTTAGCCGAACGTCGACGACAAAAACGAGAGCAACAGCTGCGAAATCGTCTTGTTGGAGGAGAAACCGTAACGGTGGAACAATTTCGTAAACGTGCACAGGAGAAATCCGACGAGCGATTTGCAATTGGTGCTTTAAAGTTAGTAAAAGTTTAACGCAAAGTGTCAATGCTTTACAAAAATGTAAAATTTCAGGCGCAGTCAGTTATCTTGTGAAACATTGGATCTAGAGAACGGCATCAAAGAAGCCGAGCTTAGTTGGTTTTGGCCTGAACGCAATGAAAACGTAAATGAGGAAGGTTCGGACGAAACAAACAACGAAAATAATGAAGGCGCTGGAGTGAATGATAATGAGGAAGAATATACCGCCGCGGAGAAAGTGGAAATACTTACCAGTTATTTGCGCACATCGTACAAATTTTGTTTCTGGTGTGGGGTACGTTACAAAGATCAAGATGATATGAACAGCAATTGTCCTGGAGAATCGCGAGATGACCATTAAAAAATATTTCCAATCGTAATCAAATAAGTCAACGGCTGTTGAATTGCTGTTATTCTATTTATTTTAAGAAATATAGAAAATTACTTTAAGCTAAAATTTCAAAATTTTCTATGATAATCATCAAGTTGTTCATCTTCATATTTAAATTGTTCACAATGCAATAATTACGTCAAAATATCATTCACATTTTTTATAAAGCAAAAATTAAAAATACATACGTTATAGTCAGCTAATCAGCTAAACACGTCCATCAAGCTTATGTATTAAATCTTGGATTTTTTCGATTACACTATATATAAAGGGTCGCTCCATAGGATCCATACGCAACATATATTTAATTAAATCGTGCATATCATCAGAATAAATAGAACTTTCTGGAATGTTGATGTTACCGCTCAGCACCGCCAGCGCAACACTGTCACCTTTTTCATAAACTGAATCAAAGGGACAATGGAAGAAGCACATAGCATAAAGTACACAACCAAGGCTCTGTAAAGATTTTAAAATTAATATCTTATTCAGACATTTAAATAATTGTGTTACTAACCCAAATGTCTGTACGTTCATCTATGGTGGAGTACGACTTAACTGAGAATAGTTCTGGTGCACGATACACGATTGAACTGCGCTCCTCCGCTTCGTCTTGCAGTCGTTGCGCTTCATTCTGTCCACAAATTTGCAAACGAGCTTCCGTCATAGAACCCAAATCTACAATTATCGGTTCAAAAGTGTCAGACAAACAAATGTTCGCTGTTTTCAGGTCTCGATGTGCCAACGGCACTGGTTTAGCTTCGTGCACCGCCCTTAAACCATTGCAGATACCAAGAAATACTTGCAAAATTTGCGCTTCTGGCATATGATCATCTTTGCGTGCACGCATACTTAGATAATCTGCCAGCGAACCGTTCTTATAGTATGGCAATACTATGTATAGGTCACTAGTGGTATTGATTACAATATCGGCAGATCCTTTCAGCTCATAGTCTATTACTTTAATTACATTTTCTGAATCGATACGTCTACAATTTTCAATCTCACGCAAGGCTATATTTTGATCATCTATGCTGTGACAAGTTATACGCTTAACTGCATAGAGTTTGTGTGTTGTAGCATTTTCTGCTAGATCGATCAAACTGAAACCACTGTAAATAACGTAATATTAGATAAGAATATTAGAACATTTTCTTCAACTCACCCCTGAGCCAGTCGATCGCGTATAATGTATTTTGTTCCTTTAATGTTTACTGTCTCTTTGGAGCAGAAGAGACAACCACTTTTCATGATTAAGGTCCATCCTAAGCTATTCATATTGTACTTATAAAAAGGTAGAAAATTACTTTTGGTGTGAGCGAAGTATAGCAAAGAACTCGTAAAATAAATTGTAAATTTTGACTATCTACTGTAAAAATAAATATTAATATTTTAACAGAAAACAAGAAAAACACAATTTGCACCAGCTCAGAGTGACGATAACAAATCTTGGAAGAAAACAAACACTGTGTTTTCTTAGGAAAGCGATCAGCTGGTGACCAATGAGAGCTGTCACACCATTAACACAGGGTTGACAAAATAAATGAAAATATAATTTAATTGAAGCTAAAGTGTATTGCTTCCTTACTTAGCTATTTACAGTAATTAACGGTAATTTAGTACCTTTATTTAACTTTATCTTATCTTAATCTTATCAAACATATCCGAAAATATTTTACACGTCCGTAAAATTTTATTTTGTGATACAAAGCAGAGAACGTTTATCATACGTTTTATCATATCATAAACATTCTCTGTTATTTCAAATATAACAAAAACTTTTTAACATCAAATCTAATGCTTTTGTTTCCAATATTCTAATATCTGTTTATTTCTGTGATATAGCCATTAGAACATTTTCTGCTCAAAGTATGTTCGCAGTTTGTTCAAATTTAATTATTCTAGCTCATCCTGTGTTCCGGACAGCTGTTTGGGTTAGATCCGTTTCGGTCAGTTCTTTAGTTTGCTGTAAAAAACTACTATTATTAAGTAAAAGCTAGTTCATTTATAAATTTATAATGCAAAATTCTGACCAAATGATGGAAGAATGTTGTGAAGATTTATTTGGCATACGCTTAGATCCACCAGATAGGCGTGATAAATGTGATAATTGCAAGTAAGTTATAACTTTAATTGAATACATACTCAACTAATTTGCAAACATTTGTAGGCGACCATCTGTAGTTTGTTGGTGTCAGTCATTACCAAATCCGCCAATTAACATTAAGTCTTCTATAGTTATACTCCAACATCCTGCCGAAGAGAAACGATCCTTGCGCACAGCCTTAATGTTGCAACTTGGTGTAACACCAGGAAAATGTGTTGTATATAAGGGAAAACGCTTTCCATCGACTAAAAATCAAGCTGAGCTTGAACCAATATTAAATTCGCCAAATTCTTTACTTCTCTACCCCAGTAAGGACTCTGTGCCTATAGAAAATCTTTGCTCACAGATAATTGCACCGTCTGAAGATGCACATTTTACATTAGTGCTTATCGATGGTACCTGGCCGCAAGCAAAAGCTATTTACGCCAGTAGTCCCATACTACATCGCATGCGACAGGTAAAACTAATAGCTGCGGGCAATAGTGATTACATTATACGCACACAACCCACCGAAGGCTGTCTCAGTACCCTTGAAACTGCTGCACAAGCTTTATCCATTCTGGAGCAACGTAGTGAACTGCGACAATTATTAGTACGTCCGTTGCATACGTTATGCAAGTACCAGTTAGATAATGGAGCTGTTGAACATCAGTCGAAAGAGTTTCGCATAAAAAATCAACAATATCCCAAACAAATCGGCAAGCGCCTAAATCGTTTGCTCAATTACAGCACAATTTGTAGACCCGAAGCGACCGAAGAGAATGTGGCAAATAGAATCGATACAACATTGCAACAGCAGCAACAAAGAACGTGAAAGTGGGCATAACTAATCCAAAATCACTTTAGGAAAATACTATACTTACATATTATGTAGAAATAATGCATTTATTGAATTTGTCATAGCTAGTTTATAAAGTAATATACATATTTACAAAGCTAAACCAAATTAAAAAAAAAGCATGTAGATAATTTACTAAGCAAAGTTTTTATTGCATTACATTGCGATTAATAAATTAAAGTTTTTAAGTTTCTAATAAACTTAAAATCTATTTTAGGCAACAGTATCGTTGCAGGTATCTTGAAAACCACGTTTCATCAAACATTTTGCGATGGCATAACTACGTACACAAGCGTTCATTTCTTGTTCTAAAATGAAGATATATAAATATATATGTGCGCAAATATAAAACACTGATAAATGTGTATTAGTAACGTCTGTCTTACTTTCTTCTGGCTCACAAAACGCAATTGAATCGGCTTTTATCGGCCACATAGTTTGCATTATCAAGTCCTTATTTAATTGCCAGTTTTTAATCAACCCTGCCTTTTCAAAGTAGCAGCGTATGAAACACTACATAACGGGTAAAAATTATATTTTTTTATGTGTATGTATGTATATAACGCTATTTTACCATGCCGGTTTTGTCAACTGTTTCAGGCAGGTCGCCATTCCTATTGAATTGCACAATATAATCTGGATAGAAAATAGTCGTAATATGTTTTCTAATGAAAATAATACTATTTTTCTTCATTGGTGCTTACCGCTTGGTATGGAAAAACTATTATTGCATATATGCGCCACATCCATGTCCTCGCTGCTGTTGCTGCCATTGGCGTGCACCATAATTGGCGCAACACATTCTCGCTGCTCCCTGTGCTGCACAAAAATGTCACCATTATCCTTGGCGCGATCCTCTACCGACACCATAATGTCACAATAAAGCAGTATTATAGTAAACGGTATCATCACAAATACATTACGGTTACTCATTCTTCTCTAGATTAATTACTTTCAAAATCTTGGAACGTGGGTGGCACTAGTGCGCAACTCCGGAAGCCAACTCGTTTTATGAGTTTTTACAGGAGGTCAGTTGAGTGTGAACAGTGTTTATATATTATTGCGGAGCGTGTTCTTCAGTTTATTAAGTCAATTATATTATATTGTTAGGAAAATAGCATTACACTTCAAGTTGTAATTGCCTATTTAAAAGTGCAGCAACAATACAGTGTGCAATGATTACGCTTTTTAATAATAATAATGTTTAAGTACATATGTATGTACACGAATTATAATATGCCTACACCTAGCAGGTGTCTTTAATATATTTTTGTTGCAATGGCATATATTAATGTAATTTACAATCGAATTGGCATAAGCGGCTTACGGTAGTCAGAATTTATTGAATTTTTTTAAAGTAAAGTTCGGAAATGTTCGAGTGCTAGCCGGCAGCAAATGTACGCATAACGTAAATTGAGTGTAAAACTTCAAAAACGCTTTTGTCAAAAGAATCTTTTTGAAATGGTGACTACTGCCGCTCGAAAACCGTTCGGTGGATTTGAATGAAATTTTTACAGCTTTTTGAAAACATGAAAAACTAGTGTCTGTTCGAACGATAAACTTTTATAATTAAAACAACTTCGATTAGTCACTGAATTTTTCTTTACTGGCGTAGTCACCATTTGCTTGGTTATAGCCGAGTTAAAAACAGCGCGCCAGTTGTTTCTCCTTTTTGATATGTGGCGTCAATTGGAGATTTCAAAGGAAGCGTGGCCCCTTTCTGCATGGTCTTTCCAATGGAGTAGAGGTCTTCCTCTTCCTCTACTTCCCCCGGGGAGTGCTGCGCCGAATACTTTCAGAGCTGGAGTTGTTTCGCCTTTGGGACGACATGACCTAGCCAGTGTTGCCGCTGTCTTTGAAGTCGCTGAACTATGCCAATGTCGTTGTCTTTGTTATACAGATCGTCGTTCCATCGAATACGGCATTCGCCCTGGTCAACGCGAAAAGGACCATAAATCTTCCTCCGAACATTTCTCTCGAAAACTCCCAACGCCTTTGCACTATACAGCAGGAAAAGAGCAGATTGAAGAAGTCACATAAAACGGAGTCGCCTCGTTTGGTATCAAACGGCTCAGAGAGGTCCTTCCCGAAATTACTCAACGTTAGTTTACACAACCGTTTTAGTTTTGCGGGGATACCGAACTCAGACATCGCGGCATAAAGGCGACTCCTTTTCGTACTATCAGAAGCAGCTTTAAAATCGACGAAGAGTGTCGATCATTTTCTCACTGATCTTTCTCACTGGTCGGTTGTTGATTTGCCAGGTCTAAAGCCACACTGCGTCTCGCTTCCCTTTTCAATTCACGGTATCTATCCCATTCCGCATGTGTTGTAGTTAATTGTAACGTTGCGAGGTAGGCAGTCTGTTTTCTCTCCACTGCGACATGGCACACCTCGTCGTACCAGCTGTTTGTTTTTGCATTTTCCGAAATCCAATGGTTTCGGTTGCAGCTGTGCATAAGGAGTTTGAAATACCGCCCCACAGTTCCCTTATACCGAGTTGTTGACGAGTGCTCTTAGAGAGCAGGAGCGCAAGTCAAGTAGAAAATCGCTCGGCAAATTTTGCAACATAGAAAAATTATTAAGTGCAAAAAAAAAAAGGAAATCAACGATACTCACCGCATTGAATTTAAAATTGGGATTTTTCGACTATGTGATATTCTATCTCTCTCCCTGAAGATTCACACAGCGTGATTCTTCAGACAAAGGCTTCAAATATGATATATACGCTGCTTGAGACGTTCCGAAATCGAAGACAAAAAGCTGAGCAAAATTTTCGATCGATTCGAAAGAATGGCGGCAGCACTGAAAGTTGACAAACAAAACCCGAGAACCTGCGGCCGACAAACAAAACGCGAAAATTTCTGCGTGAGAACTTTCGAAGAGTACTACAGGATCTCAGTGTACATTCCTCTGCTGGATATAATTAGCGAAGATTTGAAGACGTGCTTTTCGAGATAAGTATTGGATGGATTTTAACTGAGTCCAGAAAAAGTATGTGCTCTGAAAACTAAAGAAATGGAATGGAATGGAATCATAACACAGAAATCCATGGGTCATCCGTCACATTGAGAAGTAGGAGCTGTTCACTTGCGGCACTTCAGGAAATGGTGTATGGTGGCAATAGTACGTACGAAAGTCTTTCCTTCTCTACACTTTTGCCAAAATATCGTCGCTTTAACCCTCCAGTTATGTTAATAAAAATGTTGCACTTGTGATGTGAAAGAACCGAATGACCTAGTCAGAGTTTTGTAAGGGTATCCTAATTATAACTTATGATTTTAGCTTTTTTTTCTAATTTTTCTTAATTTTACTGACTACCAATTAAGTTTGGTTTTAACATTTCATAGTTTTATTGATTATAATTTCATTTTGTTCGTAAAATTTCTTAGAATTTTTGAATATAAATTATGATAACTTCCTATATATTTGCTATATTTATTGCATATATTTAAGGCGATATGATGTAGAAACTCTTACCGTTGTGCGATGTCTCAAGTAATGTCCAATCGTATTGCAAAAGAGTTATCTGTCGTTATATTCCGTCCTACACACCCACTTACTAGATCCATCACTACCCGTTGATCTTGGTTTTGCTCCGGTTGTGTAGCTGTTGAAACTTTTCCCAAATATATTTGAAAATTTAGACAAAATTTTATACGCAGCTATCCCCGCCTTTATCCTATACTTATCTAAGAATGGGCATTTGACTTTAAAAGTAGTTAAAAGCTCATCGACTGGGTATTTGCATACTGATTTCTTGTATAAATCTCGAATCGGAGCAAGTTTATAGTACACTCTCTGAGCTCTGCGATTGTCTCTGTTATCAAACCTCAGCTCTCGATTTATTTTCCAAAAACCTTGTCAATGACATTACAGCTCGAAATGGTCGACCATGAACATCATTCCAAAGACTGCGGATATTTTCTGTATGTAACTTATGTATATATGTACTTACATATATAAATGTACCATTTGATGAAATATGAAAATGCCCAAAAACTCACCCAATTATATTTCATTAATTGATTTATATTTCCAATAGTTTTAGCGCGGAAATGGAACGAAACTTCCTAAAGTTCCTACTAAGTTTTTATTGTGCCACAGTTTTCATAAAATGTTAAAAAATATGTTGTACTTTTTCGAAGCGACTTCTCTCAATGCAGGAATTCGTAAAAGGAAATCCCGAAATTTTGTGTCTTTTATGAAACATAAGAAAAAATAACATATAAAGGTCACGATATGACCTTGAGGTAACAGAAGGGTTAAAACAAAACCAGCGATGAAACTGTGGCATACTTTGACTTCAGACTGGTACTGAATATTGATGTGGTCCATTCTTATTACCGCATTTTGCTGTGATATCTCGAGTAGTTTGTAAGACACAATATTTTTATTCATTTATTTATTTATAGAATCTGATACACATACAAGATATTTTCATACAAGTAAGAACACGCATTCCATTCTACTAACTCAAGAAAGAAACTGTTCAGATATATGTAATGTTTAAATTAAGATAAAATAAATACAAGTTTTTTTATAGGAAATATCCAACAAAAACATAATTGATAAAACTACATACATATAGTTCTTTTAAAGATAATGCAATTCTGGTTTGAAATATTTTGCGTTTGATTAAAATTATGAATCTACTCTTCAGAACAATATAAATAATTTGAGGTTAAATATTTACATTTCTTCCCAAGAAATTATATTTTCTATTGAACCTTTTACTGAAAATCTGCAGATTTGTATCTTTATATTTTTTACAAAACCAAAGCTCTATAATTGTTAATAACTGTTAATTATGCGATTTAAAATTATTTGGAGAGAGTTTTTGTGCTCTCTCATGAATTAAATTACGGTTGCTTGAAGAGGCACTTACATCAGATAACTTCTCAGCTACTGGCATACAGTTCCATATTTCGAACTATTTGAAAGTGATTTTTATAACGTGTTCCGTTTCTAGGAAGATTTCAAAATAAGCCTAACCTCGTGCGGTTAGTTGGTTGGTATTGAGCGAGTTTTCATACTAACATTAAAGGTCATAAGGTGTATTCATTAGTGGGTATGTACTTAGAAGTGTACGTGCTGGTATTGAATGTGGTCAGGCAACGATGAAGCGCGGCAGAGAGTCGTGAATGGTTCACCCAATAGTTTCTAGTTTAGGTCGAATATTAAAATTACGTGAATGATTTGAGTTAACTAAAGTGCCGTTTGGAAGTTGGACAGGAAGTGGTTTTAGAATAATAGATTTAATACTAATAAATATATTTTTAATTTTAAAATAATTACTTTAATAATAATTTTTTATTTCGACGATTTTTTTAATATTTATGTTTTTGATGATTTTTGTTGAATTTGTTTTAAATTTTTTGCATTTTTTTTTTGCTTTCTTTTTTAAATTACTCTATGCAGCGTCCACGTTGCGTCCAGCCGTCAAACTTTGGCGCCCCATGCACGCTTCACCATGTACACACCCTTCTCGGCGATCATAACCGCAGGCGCATGTGTGTTTCCAGATGTTACCTGTGGCATAATGGACGTATCCATGACACGCAAGCCCCTCACGCCATGCACGCGCAGCTCGTGATCGACCACGGCCAACGGATCGCTCGCGGGTCCCATTTTACAGGAACCGGCTTGATGATTTTCCGGGTCAGTGTCGCGTCGTACTGTGCACTCCCAGTAGGCATCCGTGCCGAAAGTTAACGATTCACAGCCCTTTGTCGGTGTCTTGTCCACCCGCATACCATACTGCTTGAGCGGTGCTGTCTGTGACAATTGAATTGCGAATTTTATACCTTCAATCAGCGTTTTCACATCACGATCCTCGGTAAGATAATTGGCGATGATACGCGGTGGTGCCAGCGGATCGTTAGAGGCAAGCGTAATGGAACCACGCGATTTGGGATGCAACACTGCGGGGAAAATCTGTACGGAGCGCATATTGTTGGAGAGCAGTTCGCCTACTTGACCAGTACGCGAACAAGTGGCCGAGTAGCCGCCGAAGTACAGTTGCACATCGGGCACATTCGGTACATCGGCGTAGCGTGTATGGATTTTTGCGGTGACATCCCCAATGCCGGTGCCCGACATGAGACCATCCCGAAAGAGTAAATATTCCATAGCGGTGGCCCAATTTAGCGGTGCCGTGTCTGCGTCGTCGATGAAGAAGTTGGTGAAGTAGGCAACGTGATTATGTAAATTCTTGCCAACACCAGGAAGATTGTGTATGGGGCGTACATTCACCTACATCGTATGGAAATAAGGCTATTAGCAATCAAATCTATGGCTTATATTGTACCTTCGTTAGCTCGTCAGATGGTCCGATGCCGCTAAGCAGTAGTATTTGTGGTGAGTTGACGGCTCCACCGCTGACGATTACTTCTTTTTTGGCGAATATCTTACGTGAGCTGCCGTATTGATCCATCACTTCTACGCCAACAACTGTCTTACTGTCGGGCTTGAAGAGTACCTTCGAGGCGGTGGTGTTGAGCAGAATGTGCAGATTGTTGCGATTACGTGCCGGTCGTAGGAACGAACGTGCTGAACTCCAACGTATGCCATTGCGAGATGTCATCTGGGCAATCATAAAACCGGTGGAGTTGCGTCCATTTAAATCCTGCACCGTGTAGCCTGAAAAGGTATAACATGTGACTTTAAGTATATGCACACGCATATGAGAAGTTCTTATCGCATATATCAAACAATTTTTGCTCCACTTAAACGGAGAGCAATGCAGAAAAAAAAATTTTTACTTTAGAAACAAATGTCTATTAAAAGGGAGAGGTGGGTGATGGTGTTACCTTTTTTATGACTATAATAATCGTACTCACCCAATTCCTCGCCGCCCTTTAATATTGCATACGACAAAGGTGGATTGTAGGGGAAATGTGAAACTGGTAGCGGTCCACCCTTCGCATGCAAGCTCTGATCCACCTGATCCAATTGTAAATTATCCTCTGATTTCATAAAGAACGGCAGTACATCCTCAAATGACCAACCGGGATTACCCAATGCAGCCCAGTTATCATAATCTTCGGGATTGCCACGTATATACATCATGCCATTCAGTACCGATGTGCCACCCAAAACTTTGCCACGCGGCCAAGTACAACGCCGTCCTTCCGAATTTAAACAAGCACTACTTTCTGGCTCGGTAGTGTAGCTCCAATCAATACTACTGCCAAAGAAATTCGGGACCATTGAAGGTATTTGCGTACCAACCGGTTCATCTCCACCTAAAATGAAAGAAGAAAACGGAAAAAGGTCTCATTAATATTTACTTATTTGAGGTGCGGCTCTTCTTAAAACAATGCATTAGTGTAACTGGTAAACGAATAGAATCGTCAAAATCGCAAATATGTTAAGGCTCAACTGTACTCTAAAGTAATAAATACAATTTGTACCGATCTTGGATGAAGCTTACTATTTTATCGTGCGGAATAATACACTATTTCTTCATTTGTCGCGTTCTTTTGAAAACAGCGGGACCGCCTAAGGGAACGCTGAGCTGTATCTCAGGCTACATTCTATAAGAGTTGTTCGGTCATTTTAATGACAAGACTTAGCCTATCCTCCAGCTATTTTGACAGTACCTGGACCAGTCTGGAGGAAAAATAGCATCCACAACCCAGTTTCATAAGATTTTGAACGGGTCACAACTACGCACTAGCACTGGATCTAAGCGTCTAGCTTGGTGAGTATTTTCAGATCGCAATTAAACCATAATTTTATGAGAATTTTCCGAAAAGAAATTCATCTCTATGATGTTCATGTTATTTAGATCTAATTTAAATGTGTTAATGTTTTTTAATTGTTTTTTCTCTATCCATCACGTCATCCATCATTCTTTAGATAAGACATGAAAACCGCCGCACTTCCGCAATACTTTATATTATTCAGCATATTTAATTGTAGCTTCACACTCTTCTATTTATAGCCTGAATAATTTGAATTAATCTTATATTAAATGAAATTGCAATAATACAGTTTTTGGTTAATTAATAGAAAATTATACAAGCTTGCAAATATATATTCATAAAATCAATGTATTCAAGTTTTTTTTTTACTTTTTCATCATTTCCAATTTACTACATTATTTCGAATGATTAATGAAATCACATAAATCCAATCCAATGTCTTTTGCAATTGCTTGGTGACTTGTTTGTCAGCAGTTTCTTTGACGACGATGTGAAAATTATCTAAATTCCTTGTTAATTAATTGCAAGTGATGAATGGCCGCTTAGTTGAATCAGTACGGTAATTTGGGAATATAAAGGCATAACCCAAATATTTGAGTTAGATGATCCTTATCGTTTTTGTCTTCAAATAACGGCTACTCTTATTCGGCTTCTGAGTTGTATTTCGGGGTTGACAGCTTAAATCACTACGGTATGTCTTGTATTAATATCGGAAGCTTCTTTGTCCAACTACTCAAACTACTTTTACTACTTTTACTACTACCTTTAAACTATTCCAACGATGGCAAGACAGACACCACAAAAAGTTTTTCAAGACCTTTTTCTTATCCAGCATCAATGGAAATAGGCTGAATAGTCAATCAAATTCTATTCTAATTCTATCAAATTCTAACTAATTTTCACAGCAGATCCCGTATATAATTTTCATACTGATCTGATATCATTCGACAAATAGAAGGTTTTTTAATTTTTAAGCCGCCTTTAATCGAATACAGAAATATGTGAGAAACCCTTTTAACTCCTTTAATTCTTACAGTTTTATTTAGTAAAGATTTAAAATGACCATTCAGAGAAATTGGCTTCCCTTAATTGAGTCAATTTAACGACTATCGGAGTTATATCTCTAAGGCTATTTAATTTTGTACTGAATTATTTTATAGAAAGAGCCAGGCAGAGAAATGTATTCAAGGAGACATAGCACTAGAGCTGATGAAACTTTGGCCCATGAGCCTGAGTAGTACCTCATAATTACGTATACCCTTATAACTTCAAGAGAAGTGGTTTTAGAATGGTTAATGCCTGTCGATCACTTTTCTAGAGTGAATTTTAATCGACGATTTCGAGTATGTCTCACCCTAAAAGGTCTTGTACACATTAATTTAATGTTAAAATAAAGAGTGATTCATTTCGAGGATCACAGAAACTTCAAATTTGACAATTTAATGGTGAAGGTTTATTATCATTCGAAAGAGCGTTATTTCGCATTTATTTCTGGAAGATTATCTCTTCCAACGGTTTGCTGTTTCTACGACTCAGATGGTCCATTCGTTGAGTCCAATTTTCGATGACTCGTTCAAGCATTTCGACTGGTAACTGGCGAGTGGCATGCGCGATATTTTGCTCTAAGGAAAAAGTCCTACGGTGCCATATCACACGATTTTGGTGGCTAATCAACCGGCCCAAAACGTGAAATAATCTGCTCACCGAAGTTTTCTCTTAATAAATCCATTGATTGATGCGATGTGTAGGAAGTGGCGCCGTCTTGTTGAAACCAAATGTTGCCGAGATCACGAGCTCCAATTTCAGACATTTAATAGTCGGTTATCATGACGCGATAACGGTCGCCATTGACCGATATGTTCTCACCGAGAGTTTCTGAAGAAGATGATTCCCCCAGCATAAACCCACACCCAATCGTTGGTTTTCCTGAATGGAATGACAGCTTCGGAATCTCTGCAGGTTTCTATATTATATTTTTTTCACTGCGTGCTGAAAGTGGTCTATTCGGTCGAATATTATCCAATAATGAATGCTGGGTCTCAAGATGGGTAGTGGTGTTGCGAATAGAACGCTCGGTAGCACGATTATGTTGATCATAAGTAGAGCGAAGCGCGCGAAACACATTCTTTACAGAACGTGAATTTTCATAATAAAGTTGAACGGTTTGTAAACGTTCTTCATTCGTAAGTCTTACCATGATGGAAAGCCAAACAATACTGAACAAAACTGACGCGTGATCGGTCAGAAAAGTCTAATGAAAAGAGCACCTCTGCTTATATCAGGCGTTATTATAGGCGTTATTATGAGATTTCCACTGAGATCAGTAGCAAATTGTCTCCTAGCCAGTTCACAGTATCTTATTTAGTCGCATAACTCTAATGGATTTAATAGGTTTAAGGATTAAGAAGCAAGTTTAGAGACCTTTGTATACTCGTATTTCGACGTTACAAGCTTTCGAGAGAAAGGTTCTGCGAAAAATGCGTGGTCCATTGCGCGTTGTCCACGGCGAATATCGCATTTGATGGAACGATGAGCTTTATAAGATATACGACGCCATTAACATAGTTCAGCGAATTAGAAGATAGCGGCTACGCTGGCTAGGTCATCTCGTCCGAATGCACGAAAGTAATCTAGCTCTGAATGTATTCGACGCAGTACCCGCCGGGGGAAACAGATGAAGAGAAAGACCTCCACTCCATTGGAAAGACCAGGTGGAGAAGGACCTGGCTTCGCTTGGTATATCCAATTGGCGCCATCTTGTGAATAAAAGAAACAACTGGAGTGCTTTTGTTAACTCGCCTATAATCCCGTAAGCGGTGTCTACGCTAGTAAAGAAGAGGAATTAATAAGGCGCAGTGCAGTCGGTTGTAGCGAATGCAGTGAGACGTCATGAAAGAAAACCTTCGGCCTAAAGGTCCCCGATGCCAAAAGCTATCTTTTTATTAGTTGGAAATATAAATAGTCTCATAATTACTTGAACCCTAAATAAGATATTCTCCGGGTCTCTGTTTGTGTTTCCCCAATTAAAATAGTTTTTATCAAGGTTGCCGATGCAACAATAACCACGAACGGTTTCAGCGTTGAAGGGGAGGAAATTTCTGTTTAATTATCACAAAGTTTATTTATTACTTTATCTTAATATATCTTTATCTTATCTTATCTTAATTTATATGTTATTTTTTCATTTTTGCATAATTTGCTTTTATGGTAGTTTGTTTTCAATTTAATGTCTCTAAATATTCTTCAATTTCATTTGTTGTCTCCTTACTATCCCACGGTTCGAATAATCATCGTAATTAAAGTGGAAGCTTTTTTTGCGCAGTTAACTGTCTCCCCATTTTTGTTGCTTTGAAATCGCTTCTACTTATATTCACCCAATTCCGTATCATTCCAAAGTTTTTTTTTTATTTTATTTATTTTTTTTTTTTTGTTTTTTTTTTTTTTTTTTTTTTTTTTGTTTTTTTTCGAATGTCTTCATTTAGCTTGCGGTTAAGCTAATGTCAAAGTTGACGTATCGTTGGAGCAATCTTGATTTAAACAAGAAGAATCGAGTTCGCTTTTACCGTTTTTATTTTCACTTTCAACTAATCTTTTATTGTTATTTTTTTCTCATCTCACGCCCACTAATTCGTGCGGCGAAACAGTTCAAAGGTGCTTTGCAACGATTTTCGGTGAATCAATTGCAAGTCGGCACTTTAAAGCCCTCGCATTTACCTCGCATTTTTTTCGTTTTTGATATTTTCCATTTCTGGTTGGAGAATATCAAATTATGCGGTTAAATGGCGCAATTTTCACGGGTTAATTGCGCGATGGCGTCAGCGAGGCATTTACAAGCCCTCTGGCTTTTGGCAGGGAAACTCAATGAATTCCAGAAATTGGACAATTTCAAAGACGAGTAGCTGTTTTTACAATGCTAAATATACAAAAACATTATCTTTGGCTTTTGTTTTGTAATACAAGGCACCCAAAAAGGCAAGTGAATAAATAAAGAAATGAAAATCACATAATTACTTTTCACAACAGTTAAGTAAACAGAGAAAATGTGTAAAAAAAAACGATGACTCTCATAATCATTCATAATCACTTACATATTTTGGTTAAAATATAAATATACTACCTGTCCTACACACGCGCAAGTAGCTCTTGCAACTCGTCAATGCTGTTGATGGATTTAATGGAACGTTGCAAGTAATTATTTTGCTTCTCCTTTATTTTACACTAAATTAGATACACCAAGCACCGAAGCACCATAACTATTACACATACATACATACATGTATAAATTAGTAATTAATTTTATTTGTAATGAGTTACCGGTTGACTAGTTGAAATTTGTATTTTCAGGCATTTAGCGATTAACGGTGTACGCTCTGATATCAACAGCTTTTTAGCATCTACAGCAACGGCTGGCTGTCAGTCGTCAGCAGTTGGTTGCTAATAATTGACGACAATTTATCGCACGCAAAACCTGTATTGGAAAATATTTTGGATTTAGCGCCCGTTGGTCTCATTAAACATATTGATTAATTGAGCACATT